AGCTAGAAGATTGGAATTTTGAGGGGATTTTTCCTGACAGTTGTGGCGGTCAGCCTGAAATTCTTTCAGCTAGAGGCATCTGCCGAAAAAACCGATGCCGGTAGTGACAAAAACCTGCGGGAAACTCTGCAAAAAACGCATCTTTGCACGGGCAGCCCGTGCGTTGGCCATTTATTTATCCTTGATCTATGGAACCTTTGCGCAGGTTCCGTTGGTGTTGGGCGATCCGTGTTGAGTAGCGGATTTCTTGTCGAAGTTTTCGAGCTAGATTTTATGTTTGATAGACTCTGATGGCCACTCTGTAAACTGTGACTTCTCTACTGCGTTGTCTAGAATTAGTTCGAAAGTGTGCTTTCAGATATTCGGATACTGCTCACCGTTCCCGTTTTCCTTAAATGTTGCTATGCTTAGAGAGTTCTGCCTCAATTCCTGGCTAGTGCCGGGGATACTTTCGGGCCCACAGATTTTCCTTATTAGCGTTGAAAAGAGCCATTTTCTCAACAGTGACTGTTATTTCGAAATACTTGCAGGCAAGTGAATTTTGACGTAGAGCCTCCGTAAAAATGTGCTCAGAAGGCAGCGTAGCAGCAGCGATTGGGATTGATATTGGGACGACAAGCATCAAATGTTGTGTGCTCAGTGATCAGGGCAGGTAAGCTTCCACCATCCGGCGGCTGGCGCAGACAGTCGTGCAGAATTCACATTTTAGTTCACATTAAAAAAAACTTGAAAAAGAATTAATATTTGGTCCAGTGAATAATAAATGCGAAAATAAAAGCAAAAAAAAAGCAAAAATTTTAAAAAAAAGGCAAAAAAGCAAAAATTAAAAGCAAAAATAATAAATGCAATGTTAAATGAATGCAAAGTAATCAGTGTGAAGTAGCTTGAGATTTGACAATAAAAATTGAATAAAAACTAGTAAGAGAAAATGTCAATTATATGCTTAATTTATAAGAAAAATATTATTGCAATACAGTGAAAGAGGAGGAAAATTAACTCGAAAGGGAAGATTTTCGTGGATTTCCAATGCAGGAACTTCTGTTTCTGACTCTGTACTAAACTGAAACATGAAAATATTCAAGTTGAGTTTATAAAACGCGCAGACTACTGGGCCTTTTTAGTTTTGCTCTTCAACTCAAATTTTTTGTAAAAGAGACCGTCATTTTTATCCAATGATAAAAATGTCAGGATACTTGCGCAGAAATCAGTTGTGCATGATGCATGGATAAAACATCAGGGCAACGGGTATCACGAACAGGATGCTGCACAAATACTGCATGTCGCATGTTCTCTTCTAAAATCACTTGATCTAGCATTCTGCTCCTATGAACTGACCATTAGCGTCACTGGACAGATGCATGGAATTGTATTTTGGAATGGTCAGGATTTGGCAGAAGGTTAATTTTCCTGCAGTTGAATTTACGTTTTTCACTGTTGTGCATATAGTAGAGTTAATTAAAAGTAATTGAATATTTGAATCAGTTCTAGTTTCTCCGACTAATTCGATAATTCAATTTTCCAACTGTAAGCTGTGAAATACTAAGGCCGTCCAGCAGTCAGTTTGGATGTTCCATGTTAGCGATGTTACTAAGTTATTTATGTACTCTGAGTGTAGCTATGACAAGCCCTTCGTTTCTCCATATATAACACACATCGCTGATTCCTCGGAACCGCCCGAGTGGTCATTTGCCTTCTTGTGGGTACCACTTACTAATGCACGACGTCTACCGATGTTGACAAAGCAAGCAATATGCCCTATGCATCGAATTTTACTTTCTCGCGCGCACTTCTCTCATCAAACAGAGAGTCTGGCTGTTTATACGGTCGCGAAGAGGCTTGCCAAGCACCTTTCGCTCGCCAGAGCTCGCTCTTCAGTTTTCGTCAGCAACCACGTTTTATACCTGTGAGTCACTGCCAAAATTGTAAAATACCGCCTTAAAGTATTTAGGCAAGTTTAACTGCTCGCCACTGATAACTTGGATGGACGAAAGAGTGCCGAAGAGTTTTGTCAAGTCGCTGCCCAGGTCTGCACATTTTTCAAACTTTAATGCTTTCTCGTTTGCTAACTCACGTTTCACCTTATTAATCCCAATTTTTTTCCTGTATTTTAATTTTGTTAAGTGTTTGATCAATATTCACCTTTCACTTTACCAGTTCACTCGAAAGGCTTTCATATTTCACAGCTTAACTGAAAATCTGCATCCATTTTACTAACAAAAACGTCTGACTGTCACAGTTCCAAATGGCTATCTGGTCCAAAATTGTTTAAAAATGAACTGATGGTAAATTCTTTGTCTGTTTGCAACTGAAACGAACTGTGTATCAGCCAGTTTCCCCAGTGATTAGCTTTGAACAAAAGGTTGAGCGGCATTATAGACTGTTGTCGTCATTCTTTTTAACCTTCTTTTTTTTATTAAGTCGAAAGTCAAAACCCGTGAGGTAGAGACGCTCGAGAATTAGAACGAGCGGTAGCAATTGCAAATTCCAGTCACCACTAGCAAGACTGTCAATGGCTCCCTCTTTCGAAGGCTGCTTACAACTAAGCTGGTGGCGGGTTTGACTCCTTACCACGTACCAGTACCAGTTTACCATCGAAATGGATGGGCGAGTTGTAGAATTGTAGAGGGATTAGTTTCCTCATCTGCGATACCGAACTATTTTTCTTGAAAAAGGGAACTTCCTTTTACTGTTGTTTAGGTGAACGATAGATCTGACATTTCTGCTATCGGTCTGTCGAAGCATCGACTGTTCTTTCGGCCTTGATAATTGAATAGGACAAAGTGTGAAACGTAGTTTTTAGATGCTGGTTTCTGCGACCAATTTTTGAAATACAACTTCTGTAAATTCATTTAACCAGAAAACCTAACATGTGCGCAAAACTGTGCACGTGAAAACCAGAAATTGTAAATTTGGACTGAAGGACAGTGAAGTGAAGGAGTGATCTTTGACGAGGGTGATAAGAGTTTGAACGACTGAGATATCTGAGGTGCCTCTGTGATGTACATGTTATATTAACATTCTTACGGTTCAGCATTTTTAGGCTTCGGTGCCTCGTTTTATTCACCAAACAGTTGCGCATGTGTGTTCGTGTGTTTCTTTTACTAATTACTTATATGCAGGTGGGAGTGCGGTGAGCTGCATATTGGCTATGGTCTGGTAACATTTGCATGGCTTCGCACTCACGATCTGATTGACCCAACTTGGACATGTTGTGGGACCATTATGGATATGCTCATTTGTTATCTTGCTCAATTAACGCATTCTGTTATTGGTATCCAAAATGCATACAGTTGGGGGTACTGCACATATGACGGCCACTGGACTGTACAGGTCAATTTCATGCGTCCTTATTCATTAGCACAGCTAGGGCGAAAAAGGAGTATTATGAAATTTACAATACACATACACACATCGCGTTTCAAAAGGAAGAAGGTGCTGTTAACAGCAAAGAAATGAAGTTAGTGACTGAACCTTTTCGCTTTGCCGAGTTGCCCTTCGATTCCATGTGATATGTAAATGTCCCGTCTCTTGACAGTCGCCCTTCATTTATAACCATATCATTTATATATCACGGAGCGGAGAACTCGAGTCAAGAGATAGGACGTCTAGATATCACATAGAATCGAAGGCAATTGGGCAAGGTGAAAATGTTCAGCCGCCAGCTTCATTTCCTTGCTGTTAACAGCACCTTCTTACTTTTGCAGCATTGTGCTTGTCTACTTTTCATTGAACTTATGTCGTTTGTAAAATTCGATGGGCGGGCATGCTGCACGTCTTGCGGACAGCCGGTGGACTTTGCAAATTAATATGCAGTGCACGTGAAAAAGTAAAAGACCATTCGATTGATCCTCGAAGAGGAGATAGGATGATGGGTATTAATTGGAAGTATGTAGCTTAAGATCAAAAGATCTGGTATACCCGCGCCTGGCTTGTGAGAGCATCCCAATAACATCACATTCACTCTGAATGGTCCTGGATTTCTTGGCATATAGCCATTTCTTGGTCCTGGATTTCCTGACATTTTTGAAAAAAGTACATAATACATGGTACATTAATGTTTTTCTTCTTTCTATTCTCTCAGAACCGAGGAGCGGAGGAGGGGATTTTCTAGCTTTAGTACTGCAGAATGGTTTAACTTAGTGATTGAAGCAATTAGCAAGAATATTAAATACTTCCATGCTGTCAAAGCCAAATTCGACAGAGAAAAAAGACAAAAGAGTTGAAGGGTGAAGAGACTAGGAAAATGAGGAGATAAAATATTTCGGTCCATTAAGTCATGAACTTTTTAGCTCTAAAATTTTTATTTTTTATTAATAAGTTAAGTAATTTTTGCGCTTTTTACAATACGAACTTTAGAAAAAGAGCAATACGACTACTTATTTGTTGATATCAGCATACATTACTAATACAGTAATTAAATTAGTAATAGATGATTGATTTACATTTCAAAAGGAAGCCTTGTGAAGGGGGATGATTGCAGGAAGAATTAGTGCCAGCTCATTTGCGTCCCAAGATCTGCTTATCAGATGATGTTGTTGGTTTGGTGCAGCGAACAGATGCTGGTTTGCCATTGCATGCGAAGCTTTTGGCATCGTGTGGTGATCTCCAGAGCACCGTTTATCCGTTGCTAAAGCCTGGATTAGCCGGTGAATTGTACTGCACAGCTTACAGATTTCATTCCAGTTCCCATGTATTATTGCTTTTTCCTAGTTTTCTAGTTTTCGACGTATTCTCGGTATTTGTATGCTTTTTTTCCATCTATGCAATGCAGAAAACGCATATTGATGAGTGGTTTTCTGCGTGCGTATCCGTGTGTATGGCTGTGGCTGTGTGTTCGTCTGTACCGATTTTTCATCTCGAGACCTACGAAAGCTACAGAGCTGAAACTTAGGGAACATAATCTACATGCATGTACGGCTCCATCCCCAAAATGGGAGGTCTTACCCGCGTGGTATCCACGTATGGGCCCGTGAAGTTTTTTTGCGGGTAAGTCGCTAACTCGGGAACCAGAAAAGTGAACCAGAAAAGCTAGAGAGTTGAGATTTTAAGGGGATGTTCACCGCCCATGCATGTTTTAGTGAGCTTCAAGCTAATCCCGGATATGCCAAAGTTTTTTCGAGTAAATTGTTAACTCGGGAACCTGAAAAGCTAGAAGATTGAAGCTTTAAGGGGGTGTTCCTCATCCACGTAGGTTCTGATGAGTTCATACTTAGCCCCCGGGTATGTGTGGTTCTTTTGTACGAATTCGTGAAAGTTTTTTACGGGCAAGTTACTCGAGAACCAGGAAAGCTAGAAGGCTGAAATTTTAAAAAGATGCTTCCTGGCAGTCCTGGCGACCAGTCTCAATTCTTTTAGCTAGAAGCATTTGTCGGAAAAACTTGTGCGTAGCAACAAAAACCGCGGGAAACTATGCAAAAAACGCATCTTTGCACCTGCAGTTGTTACGTTGGCCAGTTACTAGTTTTACCTGTTTTTAGTTTGAAACTTCTCTTCATCAATTCAGTTTTTTAAAAGAAAAAAGAAAGTGTTTACGTTAAGCTCGTTACTGATAGCTTGTTTTTTAGTACTGAATCTGGGGACATCGGCCCAGCTGTGCTTTGCTCATAGTTACGAGGATGATGCCATCATCGCCTCACCACCATTGCTTATAGAGCCTTTTTTTGGCACTCAGGATACAGCTAGGATCGTCGTGGCTGCATCAATGAATGGCGGCAATGCTATCGATACCATCGCCAATGTAAAGCTTATTCTATTTCTCAATACAGTTCGCAGCATATGAGCTTTATTGTGATGGATTTATAATTTTTGGCAGTTTTAACTTCTAAACAGTCTTCGAAAAAGTGAGCCGTCAACAGCCCTACTACCAGCGGGTGGTTGCTCTTGGCAATTACTATCACTCACGTTACTTCTCGGGTGCTTCTGAGAATGAACTGCAAAGTGAAAATGTTGAAAAGTAAATTACCCGAAAATGTTACCTGAAAATGTTGTAATTGTTTGCGCAGCTTTCTCGATTGACACAGTTAATTGCAGAAGATTGTTGAGTGGGCCACCGAACTCACCTCAGGTGACTACGAGCTGCGGGTAGACTTTGGGAAGCTGAATGAGTTGCTGGATACTCCGGCGGAACAGTCATCACCTACTGTATGTGTGGATCCGGTATTTATAGTTGAACGTTCGTCGTCTGCCAGTTCCTCCATTTCCGGCATCAGTTCAAGAACAACCATCAAAGAGGTAGTCATATATGTGAATAATGCTTTTTAAGACCCACAGGAAAATGCAGAGGATATTTCGGGATGAGGCTTGTGTAGATATTCCGGGATGAGGTTTGCATTTGAATTGTAGCACCATCATCCCGTACAAAAAATGACGGTTGTTAGAGGTCTTTAGAAAAAAAAATGTAAAATTCGATTGATCAGTCGGATTTTCAAAAATATTTGAAAATTCTTCACAATCAAAATGACGAGATGTTTGGAGACGAGATGATGACGCTTAACACATACCAATGAATCTTCAAATGTCTTGACCAAAGTACTTCTACCAGGAGAGCCGTTGAGCTGGTAGTTTCTTCAGGGGGAATAAAAGGAATGTCAGAATCGTCAGAAGGTTGACCATCAGCCAATGCAGCATTGCTCAAAACAACCGTGGAATGAAGAAAGAACTATAAAATCTAAAAGGCATTGTTATCAGTTACACCCATGATGAACCAGTAGTAAACTAGTAGCCGAATAATTACTGTCTAGGGACCATTTCACGGTTTATTACCTAGATATTACAGGATGCTTTCTGAAAAGAGGAGGAATTTTGCAGGTGATTCACGGGACAGCGGCTGGCGTTATATCGAATCTGTTTCGGCTGCTATCACCAGATCAGCTTTATCAGTGTGGCATTCGGCATATCAAACTGACAGGAAATGCAGGCCGAAGTTATTTCATCAACGAAATCAAGCGGCAGTGCGGCCAGAGGTTTTGTATTTTCGTAACTGATGACACAAACTGCAGCGCTGCTTATGGTGCTGCATTGCATGCGCTGCAACTTTCCCGCAACCAATAATCTTCCATGGAAACAAGGATAATTTCATTGATTGGACGTATGCCGAGTGTGTGGCTTCTGCACTTTGCTTGTTTTTATGCGTTTTTTGCAGCAATGCAATGCGAAAAATGCATATTGACGAGAGGCTGTCTGTGTG